ATTTTACGTTTTTGCCCTATCTTGTCACCATGGTGAAGAGAAGCAGTTGTGAAATGAATGGCACGGTTGTTAAGAATGCTACAATGGGCATTTTATGAATATTAGAGATCTTCAAAGCAGGGAGCTTAATTTGAAACCTGGTAAGTTTTATCTTCTTTGGATTTAAGAAATTTTAAGCAGAGATTTAAGAATTTAAAATAATAAACAAAAAAGCAAAGGTAGTGGCAAAAAGCAAAAACAGAGAGAGGATTTTTATTTAATAAAGTTTTACATGGAGTGGGAGACTAGAGAGATTTGGAATATTGGTTATTTTTGCTGTACGATTTGAAAAATAAGTATATAATTTATTCAATATACTTACGGAAAATGACTGAAATGGAACTAAAACCCATATTAGGAATTGAGGCTTGATGAAACCAGCAAATGGACACTAGAGGGAACTAAAGGACCAGGCAGAAAAAGTGTTAAAATAGCTAAGCCAATTATAATTTTATCTTATCTGTACGGAAGTTTTTGAAATATGGACTGAAATATTAATAAATAATATTTCAGTAAGGATACAGACTTAATTGGATAAACATTTAGAAGATACAGAGAAAAACTAAAAAAATAACCCTTTTACCTAACATAGACATTATAGAATCAGGGCAAGGCATGGAAGACAATAAAATCGAGATTACTAAAATAGGAGTACCAAAGGCAAATCAAGAAAATCTAGGCATGAAACAGCTGTGACAAGAAATCCTGGACAATGTCTCTTTATGGGATTTACAAAGTAGGCTGGTAAAACCTTTGAAGACTCCTTTTAAATCCAAAGAATGATGAAATATCAAATCCTGAAATGCCATAGGAATGATTTAAAAGTCAAGATTTGCAGAGGGAAAGAGAAAGAATACAAAGTTGGACTATTTGACCAGGGGTAAACTATTTATTTGATATTTCTGGCAAAAGTCCCTAATCGACTTTTTGCTGAATTAGGATTGAAAAGATGATGATTTCTAGATCGGGTTTACTTACAAAAGTTAGGCTATAGGGAGAAGGGTTTTTTTTTTTTTTGTAACTTTAAAAGAGGGTGAAAAGTTAGCATACTAGCTTATGCTTGATATGATAAAGGTTGGAAACACTTCTTCATTATTGTCTTTGTTGCCTTTTTTCTCTTCTTTATTCTGCACCTTCTGAACTTTTATTTTTCTTTCTTCTAGTTTTAGTTTATATTCATTTTTACTATGTTTATAAATTTTTAATATCATATAGTAATAGAGAATTTTTAAATGTACTCATATTTGCTGCAAAACAAATCGGAAGATTCTATTTTTTTTAAATTCTTTCTTTCTGAACTTTTGCTTTTCTTCTTTTTTATTTACTGTTTCTGCATTTGATTAGCTTGTGTCAACTTTTGTATGTTCTGTAAAACTTAAATATTTAAAAAAATTACTATGCTTATTAGAGACTTCAATACAATTATCAACAAAAAGGAATACTAGCATCTGTGGAAACCTCCACAGAGCAATTCCAGAAAAACAACTGTTAGTTCAGAACAAATCGATTCCAAATAAATAATCTGTGTATTACACTTTTCTACAGGGTGGAACTTTTCCTTTTGAAAAACTATTGTACGATAAGGAAAAAGAAAGTCAACTATGCAACCTTGGGACACTCCAGCAAACTCACACGGAGGCCGTGTGACTTTAACTGCTTAATAAACAGAACTGGGGAAAATAGGAGAAGGAGTGTTAGGTATGTTAGTTGCCTTGAGTTCTTTATCAAAATAATAAAGACAGGAAATGAATACATAAATAAAATACATTCATTATATTAGACATGTAGGATAACTCACAGTAACCTTCCCTTCTTTTCCTGTGGATCTCTGAAGTTGGATATTGAACTTTATATTATACAAACATGATATTCACAACCAAAAATTGCAGCCAATCTTAATCACACTAAGAAAAAGCAACAATGTGAATAAAAGTTGGTCTGAAACTGAATTGTTTCCATTAATCTAACAAAGTGTAAGTAAAGTTTGTCTATGTTTCTGCAAAGCTTCTGAACTTGGAGCAAAAAAATAAAATAAAACTATTCATCCACTGTTCTCTTGTATCTTATTCTCTGGCCCTTCCTCTCATAATCATGTTCGTGTCACGTGGCCTTTGTGACTGAAAGTGGTTCAGCAGGAGAAGATAATGTATGGTACTAGAACATCAAGTGGCACTTGACCTCAATTGAAAATAAATTCTGTTCATTAACAGACTTTTGGCAAGAGTAAAGTGGCCTTCCCTTAGCGGCTTACTAGATGGTTAGCAGAATGGGGTTGGCAGAAAGAGGGAGAAAAGGGAAATGGTGTTTTTGGCTCCAACCTACACTAGCCTCATCTCCTACAGCATTCAGGGTTTGCCAACAGCTGATAAACAATGAAGATGCTTCTCTACTTGGAGGACAGCAGGATACCATTTATGTGCACAAATAGAGAAGTGAAGGTGAATAATAATATCTCATTCTCAAAATTCTTGGAGAATGAGGCAGGCCAACATATGGAGGAAAAGACACCTGGTATTTATTTATTTATTTACTTGTAAAATTTATTAGCTGTCCGCCTTCCCACACTAGGGCGGAATCTTAGTTCCATAATCTAATCTCCCCATAAGCTTGGGAAGATCTAAGTTCAAATCCATCCTTAACCATGGAAGCTCACAGGGTGACATATGATTAGTCTCTATCCCACAAGATCATTTTGAGGGAGAAAAGATACCTAGGTAGATCAGTTTGAATTCCTGAAGGAATATAAATCTAAATAGATAAAATATTATTACCTGATTATTATTGTAATTAGTGTTACTTCGGTTAACACTAGCCTCAAAAGGGCCACGTGTCTATTTTCAAAATTTTGACTACCTACTTCAAACACAATAGCATTTTATATTCATACATTTATTAAGTCAAGACATAGCCCATTTCAGCATTTTGTTAAAGATATATCTCCTAGATCAGTGATGGCTAACCTTTTTGCCATCGCGTGCCAGGAAGGGGGGGGGGTGCAGGGGAGGTTTGTACGCGTGAGTGCCTGCACACTATGTGCCCCATGCATGCACACGCGAACCCACCCTCCCCCGCTCCTGGCATGTGATGGCCCAGTAGGCCCGTTTTTCTTTCTCACCTGGCTCCAGATCCTCTCTATGCATCTGGGAATTGGAAAACAGGCTGTTTCGGGCCTCCAGAGGGCCTCCGAAGGGGTGGGGAAGGCTGTTTTCGCCCTCCCCAGATGCATAGAGAGGAACTGGAGCCAGGTGAGAAAGAAAAACGGGCCTTCCGCACCCCCCACCCAGGCCCTCCAGAGGAGGAAACAGCCTGTTTCCCTACTTCTGGTGGGCCCAGAAGGCCCGAAAATGCACGCGTCAGAGCTGAGCTGGCGTGCTAGGCGACATGGCTCTGCGTGCCACAGGTGGCACGCGTGTCACAGGTTCGCCATCATGGTTCTAGATATTTGGGTTGAAAAAAAAGTGTAAAAGTTACTGAGGTTTCTATGAAAATTAATTATGAGAAGTCAACACAGACTTCAGATATAGTGGTTTCCCTGTACTATAGAAAGCCATAATCTTTTCCATATATACTTTTTGCCTATTAAAAATGTACCTGACTCTTTTTTAAATTATTTAACTACAATATATTTTGATTTCAGATGTGATAAATCTTTTGAATACACAAGTGGTTCAGATTGTTTGAATCATCTTGGGAGAATTACTTGCCTTACCAAACTAAGGAACTACCACTTCTGAACTAAAGTAATCTTCTAAGCCAAGTGCCACTAGAGGTCTGAGTTTTCATGTGAGTTTTCCTTTTGGGTCTTGTCACATTTCCCTTTTTTCCCTTAGAGAGACATCTTGAACCTACCAAACTGAGTCACCTTAATGAACCTAATTCAGCCATTGATTTGAAGTTTGTAGATGGTATTCAAGAACAGTATGTTGACAGAATTCTTCAATTTTTGGCATGGTGTGTGTCTTGCTCCACACAGCATCTCCTCCCTAACTTTCAGACTTGTGTGAAATCTGTATTTCACTCAATTCTTTGCAGATAAATTTTATCTGTCATGTGCACTCAACAATATGCAGATACATGTTAGGTGCCATTCTGTGAATGAATGGACCCATACCATACATAGTCCTGTATTACATGATCAAAAGATAATTAGGTTGTCACTGTTTAATAGTCACAAGTCAATACTAATATGTAGATAAAAACAGTAATTTTAATGAAACCCTAACTTACCAGCTTTTGACACAACAGACTTCATAACCACTAGACCAAATTTCTCCAGTTATTTTTGTCATTTGTGTACTTGTATCATTAAACAAATGATACAAATAAAGTAAATTGCTGCAATGCTCTACTTTTTAATTCTACTGGCCATGCACGAATGAACAGTACCTCTCCCAATTAGTCCAATAAAAAGAGATTTCACTTTATTGAAAAATTAAGAATCCTTTAAAAGATTTAAGTCAAAGAAAACTAATGGCCCTTTTTAAAATAAATAAATAAATAAATATAAAGGGGGCATGATTAAAAGTTAGAATAGGGATAGAAATAAGAGAGAGGGGGAATATTAGTATACACATTTTTATACAATAAGACAAAAGTAATAATAAGAAGGAAGATTAGAAATTGAATGATGGTATTATGTATGTTTAAACAATATTGTGATTGGCATTGGAATAAGGTATTGAAACATTGAATAATTAAGAAATGAAAGTCTATAATTTAATACAAATATGTGTATTAATACTCGAATTACATAAGCTTGAGGAATGTAACAAATATGATTAATAGCACTATTTTTATTTGTACTAAAATGTATGATACCCAGATGCCACTGTTCACACATTTATATGGGTATATTGTAAAATAAAATAAAAAACTTGAAAAAAAAAAAGAAAACTAATGGCACTATGGTATACACTGAAAAATAACTCAAGCACATAAAACAGTATAAAATAATGTCTTACTTCTTTGGTTTCTTCAAGTTCAGATATGCTGGTAAGTTCTTCTGTGTTGAAATGTTCAAAATCAGACTCTCCCACTGCTATCGGCACAGTCACAGTAAGATTTGGGTTGTTTATGAATGACATGTGATCAGTGTTGTCCATGCAGCTGGTAGTCATTCTAGGCCTCTGATAACCAAAAGTTTGGTTGATCTCCACTATGGTGTGGTTGGGAATGCACTGATCTTTCTTATTGTTTTGTAGATCAGGTGCACTTAATCCAGAAGGTTCCTTGCATCTTTGCAAAAAAACAATTTGCACAAATTCACATATCTTCCTCTTTATGTAATTTATTCCCCTCTGAATTCTTGATATAGCAATCTGTAGATTATTTGCTTCAGTTTCCTGCTCTGGAGCAGCAAGGCTGTCTGAACTGAAAGAACTCAATAATAATGCCAGGAAGAGGTTTAGAAGCTGGAGGATGGAGTACGGAAATAAATTAATTAGATTTTTTCCCCTTTCTAGTTAATCATTTTGACTTCTTCCTTTTGACTTTCTACCAATTGCATGCATTCACCTTTTAGTTTCTGATCATAGTAAAAAAAAATCCAATTCCTGATTCTGGGTTTTCAACTTTGGCAGACATGAAATCAAATTTGCTTGCAGGATTTGTGTATGTGTGTGTGTGTTTGGGCGGGGAGGAGTCCTTAACCAGAACAGGAGGCCAATCCCATTAAAAAAAAAACATTTGTATAATAGAATGTAAATTGGCTGGTTGGTAACACCAAATCAGCACTGTTTTTGAAGATAGAATGGGATGGTATAGTGATTGGAAAATAACAAATTAACTTGTAGAAAAAAAGCAAGGAGAATCTGTGTGATGAAAAGAACCGAAGCAACACAAACATATAACTAAAATACAGGCCTGCTAAAACAGTCCAAGCTAGTTAAGTTGGGAATCTCTTTCTCTCTCTCCACAGGTGACTTTTTGAAATAATGTAATTTCTAAAACATTTGCACACTTTCTTCTCTGAGATCACAAGTTTCCCTTCCTGATGAAATTAACCATATCAACTAACTTTATGTTTATACTACATTACGTCTGTACTGCAAACTGTGGATGGTTAAAACATAGTAAAGTAGTAATATTTTACTGTTTCACCAGGCAAGTAATAAGAATATTCTTGCTTTGTTTATAAAGCCTGTAAATGAGTTACTTAAAACAAAAAGAAGATTGCCCACCATATTTTTGCAATTACAATAGAGGAAATCGATGGTACAATACTTGAATTTGAGTTGCATAGACTTTTAAGTTTAGAATTATGCCAGAATAAACACTGTGCCCATCACAGCACTTTAAGGCTGTCTAAAGCTATCTAAAGTTGCAGAAGTTACAACAGCGCTGAAAAAAGTGATTTTTTTACACTTATGACTGTTGCAGCATCCTCTCAGTCACACGATTTACATTCGGATGCTTGACAACTGATTCACATTTATGACCGTTGCAGTGGGGAAACCAGATTCACTTAACCGTGTTATTAATTTAACAACTGCAATGATTCACTTAACAAATGTGGCAAGAAAAGTTCTAAAATGGGGCAAAACTCACTTAACAAATTTCTCCCTTAGCAACATAAATTTGGGGCTCAATTGTGGAAGTATGTTGAGGACTACCTGTACAGGGATCTTTGAAATTCCTTATAACTTTCTGATTATACAAAAGATATTTGAAAAGAGTATTCTTAGTAGCTCTCATGGACTCTAAATTTTGGTGGGAATGTGCAAGAGCAGTTTTCTCAAAACTACTTAACTGACCTCATCAACAATAAGAGCTGTATAGTGTTAGACAACGCAGTAGAAATAATCCCATAACAGCTGTATACAACAGTGTCTACAAACACTTACCACCAGTCCCAAAGTTGCTTTTCAAGAGGCAACAGGACTTTCTTTTTTTTTTTCCTCTTGAAGACTGTTTTTTCCAGTTCTGGAAAAGCTTCTTGGATAAGAAGCAAAATGTCTTCAAGGAAAAAAAAAAAAAAAGTCCATTTGCCTTTTGAAAAGCACATTTTGGACAACCATGACCTAAATAACTGAAAATCTGCATAGTTACTTACCACCAGGTTTCCAATCACCATCACCATCATAAAAACGGTCAGGCAAAGGGGTTGACCTGCAACCTCCATACAGTCCCACATGGTTTCTATCCATTCGCCACAAAGAACTCGGAACACGATCAAGAATGAGTGGAAAAAGTCATTCATGTGCCAGCGTGGAAGTTTACAGTCTTCTGAAATTTTGCATTTACAACTGTCATAGTTTTTACCAAACAGCTGCATACCAACCACAGCAAATATGAAGACAATGATAGCTAGCACCAAGGTCAAGTTTCCTAAAGCTCCAACTGAGTTCCCAATGATCTTTATTAGCATGTTTAGAGTTGGCCAAGACTTTGCCAGTTTGAACACTCGAAGCTGAAAACAGTAAGGAAGAATTCATATGTAAGAAAAATTTATATAATTTACGTAAATGAGGAATAGGTACAGGCTGGCTAAAATACAGAGAACCACCAGGCCACACTATTAGCTGTAAACATGTAGCCTGTGAATTGTTTTAATTCCTCTGGTACCCATTTATAATACCGCAACACCTCTCAGATTGCAAAACTGTCAATTTTTAGCAGTGGGTTTTTGCTGTTGTTGTCGTTCTTATTGTTAATTGTCTCTCAGAATACTTTAAAATTCTCCAATCCACTTTTAAAAAAACAACAAATCAGAACTCTGCTTCTATATCACCATAAAAGTGAACCCCATTTCACCAAAACCTGTAGTTGAAATAAACACAAAATAAAGAAAATATTCCAAATCGGAGGGGGGGGGGGGGGGGGAAGATACGGTGTGCCCTGCTCTACTTACATATGTTACATACTGAACAATGGGCTTTAGTTACAGCTCTGAAAATGTAGACTTCTTTAAGTAACAATTGCCAAACAAAATACATGTTCATGTTTCAGTTTTCCTAGACTCCTTGCTTTTTTTTTATTGTTGATGTGCATCTGATTGCTAGCATAAACTGAGAAAATATATTAATGCTTAAAATAAAAACCCAAATCATCCAATATTCTTTCTTTACCAGCAACAATTTTTGGAGGGAAAACAAAGGCCTCGTCCACAGACCTTCCTCACCACCGCATCAAAATGGATTGTTAAAATCTTTTGTAGAGGTTGCACCCTTACATGGACCTCCATTGTAGAGCCAGCCTGCTGCTGAATCAAGGCTGAAGCCAGATCAAGATGGTCTGTCAGTGTTCCTCTGGGAAACACAGCATCTCCCTTGTAGGACCATTGCAGGACTGCCCCCCCCCCCACACTTCTGTTTGGCCATGGAGCTTGCTGCCTCTGTGACGATTTCTGTTGGAGACAACAGAACATCCCAGCAACCCAAACTGTCTTTCTTTCATTAGTTTCTAGTAGCTATTTTAGAAAGTTGCCGTTCCTTCCAATAGCTGCTGCTACTGTCAATAGAGCAGGAAATCTGAGATAGGAAGAGTTTTTTCAACATCCCTGCTCCTCTTGTCTGGCTTCTGCCCTTACTTCTTTGCTTCTCCCTAACAACAGAAACCATTGTCCTGTCATGTGAATGTAGCAATTGTTGCAGCAATGCCTGGAATGCACTACCTGACACTGTGGTTACTTCCCCAAACCCCCATAACTTTAACCTTAGACTGTCTACTGTTGACCTCACCCCATTCCTAAGAGGTCTATAAGGAGCGTGCGTAAGTGCACCAGCGTGCCTACCATCCCTGTCCTACTGTCCCCATGTATTCGTATCCTTATCCTATATTCATAATCATGTTTATACTTGTATCTGTTATCTTACGTGTTTGACAAAATAATAATTAAAAAATATATAAAAAAGTATCTTATGAATGCTATGGAGGCAATGAAAAGAGCCTTGGTGGTGCAGTGGACTAAAGTGCTGTTAAGTAGCACTTAGCTGCCAGCTGCCTGCAATTACTGCGAGTTCAAATCTCACCAGGCTCAAGGTTGACTCAGCCTTCCATCCTTCCGAGGTAGGTAAAATGAGGACCTGGATTGTGGGGGCAATAAGCTGACTTTGTATAAAAAAGAACACTGCTTGCGGGGAGGCGAAAGTCCTACTAAGCAGGTATATACAAAAGTATGAAGGCTATTGCTTAATGCATTGTAAGCCGCCCTGAGTCTCTGGAGAAGGGCGGCATATAAATCGAACGAACGAACGAACAAATAAATAAATAAACTGCTATGTTTTCTTTCCTTCTCAAGGATGAGAAGGCCAGAGGGCGCTGGCGGGGAGGAGACCCCCCCCATGGAGTTGGGGATGTGGGGGTCAATGTTGGCTGGCGGCCCCCAGGGGGAGAGCCTTCTCTGTGGGGGCACCCGCCCTGTGGAATGAGCTACCTCCTGGAATACGACTGATCCCGGACCTCCGGACCTTCCATAAGGCCCTGAAGACTTATTTATTCCAGCAAGCCAGCCTAGCCTAAATGGTTTTTAATGGAATTTTTAAATTTTATAGATTTGGGGTTTTAAATTGGGAGGCCGATTGATTTAATCTCTTTTAATTATCTTAACTTTTGTATTGTATGTATTTTAATTTTGGCTGTTCACCACCCCGAGTCCCTTTGGGGAGAAGGGCGGTACACAAATTAAATTAAATTAAATAAATAAATAAAATAAAACACATAGTGTGTGTTTGTGTATAGGGAAAAGCCATACACTTGACAGCCTTATATCCGAAGGAGCTTGCTGCTAATCAGTCTGAATGCTTGAGAAATCCAGGTTGTAATCAATTCCAGAATGGCCTAGAAATTTCTTCAGGGAACTTGACTTGTTTCTAGGAAATACAAAGCTTCTCATTCTGTTTCCTTTTAATCTGCCCTTCCTATACCAAACACCTGCCTACCACAGAGGCTACTTATGTTCTCTATTGTCAGATCCTATGTAGCTAGAGGCTATTAATGCTGGAAACAGAATAGTGATCTCCCTCTACATTCCACATTTGTTTTCTATTCTAGTAAGAATGGCTAAAATGCTTCCTTCTGAGTAAACTGTAGATCCCTCCAGTATTTTCAACTTATTCCAGATGAAGGGGATTTTTGGGGGGGGAGGGGGGTTGGGGGTTTGCTTCATCCAAAATGCACATCCCAAACAGGGAGTTTTCATTCTCCCCTAATCACACGGTGTCAAGCTCAATTGCGTCACATGATGTATTGCGACATTTTTTGCCTTTGCAGAGCCGGGGTGGGCGTGGCCTGCACGTGATGCATCTGGCTTGTGGGCCGCCAGTTTGACAGGTCAGACTATATAATGACAATGCATCCAATCAGTCTGTTTCCCTATAAGAAAATAATTGTATGTATGAATATTCCATCCAAGTGTTTGCAAAAACTCTAATGAAGATCTTGGCAGATTTGAAAATCCTAGACTGGCTTTTCTAATATAAAACTTCTGCTCTATTATAACCATCTCCAAATAGGATAAACAGAGTCTGTCAATTCCAGAGATATTATGTCTTCCTGCTTAAGTCAGCTAATCTGCAGATATCTGCACAACCTGCTAGATCCACCAAGTTCACAATCCACATAGAAGGATTTTTATCCTAAGGAAAATTGCAGCTCTGCTGGGGAAAAAAATCCCCTTACAGGTCAGATATTTACCAGTCTGAAAGATCTTAAGACTGACAATCCGTCCACATCTTGAAGACCCAACTCCATTAAACTCAGGGATACAATGATGCTATCAAAAATATTCCAGCCTTCTTGGAAATAATAATAAGGATCCATGGCAATTATTTTGAGGACCATCTCTGCAGTGAAGATTCCAGTGAAAACCTAAATGTAGAATGCAATCAGTTAGTTATTCCCATGAAAACTTCCATGTATTATTTTGTTGTTTAAAGGCAAACAGCTCAAGAAACAATACTTGAAATACAGTGACAAAAACAAATGTTTAAATCTTGTTTGTTCTCCAGCTCCAACTGAGGAAATCCATGGCTTGACATAATTTTAAAAGAGCTGAAGTACAGGAGAACTTACACCAAAGGACAGGGCATGAACCATGGAAAGGTTTGTTGAAAACAACATTATTTAACAACTTTTAATCATACAAAAATAGCCTTCTAGATGTGTGGGACTTCAACTTCCACAATTCTCAATCAGAACAGCATTCCCTTTACAGTCCTAAGGTTGTAACTTTAATTCTGAAAAGAAGGAACAGGTCCATGGGAAACACACATATTCCATAAAATAAACTCCAGATTTAATCTCAGAAAGGATTTCAATATTGTGGTGGAAAAAACAATATTTACTATATTGATGATTCCTGCTAAAAAGGCACTGATGTCTGGCTCAGATTTATATTTTCAAAAAGTTTAAAGAGACCCATTTTTTGAAAGCTTCCTTAGAATGTAGCAGGTTTATGAATTGTAAAATTATTTATATTTATAATTAATTGACTTACCATATTTCCAGTTTTAAGAACACTACTGAAGGAGTCCTCAATTGGATAATGTTCCATGCTCATGAATAGTGTATTTAAAATAATGCAGATGGTAATTCCAAGATCAACAAATGGATCCATCACAATTAAATGCATAATTCTCTTTATTTGTAACCACCTATCAGAACAATTCCAAATCAAGTAACTGTCCGCAAATTTATACCAGCATGGTGGACATTTCTGTCTTGATTCTTCAAGTTCTAAAGGAATTGAAAATATTTTTTAAAAACCACCTATACTGATTTCATGATTTACATTCATCAGAAAACAACAACTTCATTAAAGTCTGATTTGCAGGTTCATTTCTATGAACTTTCTGTCATAGCACATTTCAAATACTGCTACTTAAAAGGGCAAACCTATTTCACAGACATTGTAACAATTGGTAAGACAGAAAATGAAGTGCTGGATATTTTATTTATTTATTGCCATCACACAGAAAAACAATTGTAGGAAGTGCACAATAAAAAACTACTGTACAATCAAACTATTAAAACAATTACAAGTATTGTATTGTATTGTATTGTATTGTATTGTATTGTATTGTATTGTAAAAATACATCAGGCAATATTATTATTTATTAAATGGGGGTGGGGGGGAATGATGCAGCCATCTTTTTAGACCACCATTTCCTTGAGATCCTGAAGCAGCCATGTTTTGAGGGACATCTGGAAGGATATCAAGGAATGAGCCAATCTCACCTCAGAGATGAGGGGGTGGGGATGGTGTTCCACAGAACGGGCATCCCAGCAGAAAAGGCCATCTCCTGGGTCACATTAAATAAAACTCTTTCACAGATGGCAGATGTAACTGGGTGAAGGTGGTCCTTTAACTAACCTGGCCCCTTGCCATGAAGGGCTTCAAAATCAACATCTTGAATTGTATCTGGAAACAAACTGGTACCAATGAAGCTTACAGAGCAAAGATGTGACTTGTGCCATTCTAAGGGCACACATAACTGCTCAAGCCACCATATTTTGCACCAGCTGAAATTTCCAGATACTCTTCAACCGCAGCTCCATGTAGAACTCATTACAGGAGGTGACCAGGGCATGATTCTGTGTTAGTCACTTGTGAGTAGAGCCTCTTTCAACAGGAATAGGCACATCCCAAAACTGTTATCAAAAAATATCCTGCACCATCTTGAGCATAATGACTGGAAAAAGGATGGAACCATCCTGTCCCAGTTGAAAACTCTATAACCTGCACCCCATTGCTCAGCTGCAGCCATATCAGAGGACAACAGTGTAAGGCTCTCAGATGTATATGGAGAATTGTACATTGATCTAATTGTAACTTCCATTCAAACAAAGAGGTGTGTAGTATTTGTTCCACCCTCTGTTTCTTCCTTACTATAACAAGACACCTAAATTAAAATTAGGTGTTAATTAAGCCTTTGTCACGGTTTATTCTAGTACTTGAAAAAATCCTCTTCTAAAAATACATCCAGTGTACTATTTTTTTTAATAGGCAGACTATCAGTATACTTAAGAGAAAAGACTTCACTCTCATCTTCTTGGTTTTAGTTCTAATTTAAATCTTGCCTGTAGGAGATGACCAGGCTGAGCTGGAGAGAGGGGTCAAATGCGTCATCAGTCATGAGTCCCTGCGTGCCCACAAGAGATTTAAGTACAGCCCACCTTGAATGCCTTTCTTAACTCTCGCTAATTTCCCTTGACCATTAATAGCTCAGATTCTTGTAGAGAGCTTAAGCTTGTAATAAATCTTTATATTCCTTTGAACTGCCTGAATCTCCTGATTTCCCTGGCGCTTGACATTACCAATTTTAACTGCTTATCATTTTGTAAGCCGCCCAGAGTCACTTTATTTGTGGGCAACATATTATAAACAAACAAACAAAGTTTACATTATAAAATATACTATTAAGAAAAAATGCTACCTTGAGAAACATGAGATAGTTTGATTGACTCTCCTTAAACACACTGAAGGATGCATGAGAGGGATTTTAGGCCCACTCAAGTGAATTGTTCGACACATTAGATCAGGGGTGACAAACTCAAAGCTTGTAGGTCAGATCCGTCCCTTGAGATGCTTAGATCTGGCCTGCGGGGCTGCCCTTGAAACCAAGGACTAGCCTGTGGTGCCTTTGCCAGCCAAAATGGACCTCAGGAGGGCCATGTGCATTTTTGCTGGGAGAGGGTTGCCGGAGGCCATCGCAGCCAAAATTGGAGCTTGGGAGCCTGTTTTCACTGGCAGAGCACTTGGACCACCACAGGTTCCTCATACTAGTGACATCAAGCTGTCTATGCTGCCCCCCCTGGTCACGCCACCCTTCCCTCCCAAGGTCAAACACAACTCTGATTTGATCCTCAATTAAATTGAGTTTGACATCCCAATTTGATTTGGATCGTAAATGGTCCAAATCAGCAAATTTCCTGTGATTATGCAGGCATGAAGCAATGAATGTGTTTCTTTACCATCTACCAGTAACTGCCATCATTCCATTTTCTTTTCTTAATTGCTTTCACCTAAATCTGTAGCACCAGCCAGGAACACCTAAAGCCAGATACACCTTTTCCAATGATGGCACATCAGCAGACCCACAAAGACCCACTCTCCAAGAAAATGGAGTGTTTTAAAGTTTTATAGGTGTTGTGCACATCCTGAATTATGTTTTGTCTATTGAGTCCAAATCGCTGCAAAGCCTAATAAAGCACAGTGGGTTTTTTTTAAACTTGATTAGCGCTCTATTAGCTTTGTAAAGCTTTCCATTTGCATAAGTAAACCAAAGTTTCATCGCAGATTTACTAGGCTAGGCACACAGCTATACGCAGGGACCCACCTTCCATCGTGTTTGTGATAATGCTTGCTATACTCATTGCTCTTTCCCTTATGGTGGGGTCTTCCAGCAAATCCATCGATATCTGAAAAGAACTGGACCGCCTCTTTTTGCCTTCCACCTCAGAAGCAGTAGTCTACAGTGAAGTAAGAAGACTAAATTATCGACATGATTATGGAGATCTATACTAGAACTATAACGCAAGACAAATAATTTCAAGAAGTTCATGCTATTGCACATGCACCTGAATCTTTCTGTACTTCTTAAGCTTAAACATAAGTCAACCGTAGAACATATTTTATGCTTGTTACATGTAACCAACTAAACCTGCACCTCTACAACAGGCCACTTTAGCCTTTTATCTTGGAAATGTCCCATGACCAGGCTTGCACTTCAGGAGCTCTTGAAGGCTGACTTGCAAATCTTGTATGTTATTTTGAATATATTTTTTTCTATAATAATTGAAACTATATTACAAGTTTCCCAAAGTCGCGCTTGGATCACGATTAGGTTCTCGACCCAGACTTTAGCAGGGATCCATCTATAGCGGGGTGTCAAACTTGTCGCGTCACAGCAGTGTCACGTGATGTATTGGGACTTCCCCCCCCTTCGCTAAACCGGGCGTGGGCGTGGCCAGCGCATGACGCATCTGGGCCACAGGCCGCAAGTTTGACAGCTCTGATCTATAGCACGTTTTTAAAAATTTAGTTTTGCAGATCCTCTTTGGTTCAAGTAGAATCTGTTGGAATAGTTTTCTGCTATTTTGAAATGGAATATATACAAAAACCATACTGTAAGGTAGGCTTTGGTTTCTAGAAATGCTGGTGGCACATACACAAATATTAAGAAAAGAAAATGAAAAAAGTTAAAATACTGCCCAATAAGGGAAAAACTCAAGAAAACAGTGGCCTCACTCAACACTATGTCATTGCTATCCCATTGCCTTAGTTCAGGGGTCGGCAAACTTAAACACTCAAAGAGCCACTTGGACCCGTTTCCCACAGAAAAAAAACACACCGTGGGGAGACCCTCCTTAAGCAAGCCGCTGCCCACTCTGCACACACCTTTCCTGAGCTTTGGCGCTCGCTTGAGTAGGGTCTCCCTGCGTGTGCGCACGCTCCCAGCTCAGCCACAGCCGGCCAGGGCACCACGAGTGTGGAAGAGCCACACTCAAGGGGCCAAAGAGCCGCATGTGGCTCGCGAGCCGTGGTTTGCCGACCACTGCCTTAATCCCATTGTTTTCTATGCACTGGTGAATATGAGTCTTATTTTCTGCAGAACTGTAACATTTACAATTGAAATGATTGTGAATATTCGATTACATCTTATTGCCAAGACACAAAAATTACATATGTAAATCAAAGCATGAAGATTCATACTAGAGATTAGAAGAATTAGTTTTATGTTTAGATAACCTGACACCTTTCACATGGGAATCTAGAAAGAAAAATTAGGTCATGCAACAAAAGTCATTTCAGCAAACAGCATTATGTTTTTGAGCCAGTGCTCCTCCAGGCCTTCAATCCATTCTGAACAATTGTTTAAAAAAATCAATAACAAATTTATCCCAGGTTCATCTTGTTGCATGCTCTGCCTAGCAATAAAAACATGACTTAACTGAGCTTCAGCACACCAACCATAAACCAGGGAAGATATTCCGGTTTATAATACTCTATGGAGCTGCAAACACAATATAGTTAAATGTGATCTAATCACGTTTATTATGTGATTAGATCATATTTATTTATTGCATCCATTTTTAAAATTGGGAAATGAGTTATTATACAGTTGGAGGACCATACCGTGAAGTTAATGAGGGGCAAACATTGATGCTAATCTCACAACATACTCTTGAGTACCAAATGGTTCTTTCAAGAGAACAAAATGAAGGTTCTCCTGATCCTGGCATGGAGTGCAGGATAGTAAGCCAGGTAGATTTCACCCTCCATTCTGCCCACAACGTCTCTATCCAATCATATTACCCAAGTTTAAATGTGTGCAGGTCCACACAAATTTATGTCTATCTATGTAGAGATGTACACACACACACAAAACCCCATGAGCATTCCAATATACAGACTCAGTGTAGGCAGTAAGATTTATTGGTGTCCTTTGTGCCTTTTTTTTTTTTTTGCAAAGCTGGTTTCTAGGAGAACTGCTGCCTCAGGAATTGGCCTTACTAGGCTGAAGTGCCACAGAGAATGGAAGAACGTTGGCCTTGTAGCCAGAGCATGGAATACTTCACTCTCTATGGTGACAGAAGTGCCTTCTTGTTAAGGAAAAGCAATGAGACAGATACCAGTGGGAGAATTAAAAAGAGATAGAAGCAGCTGTGGCAATGGAAGAGAGTTAAGTAGGGGTGCACAATTTGGGGGGATTGAGTAGCAATAGCAATAGCACTTAGACTTATATATCGCTTCACAGGGCTTTACAGCCCTCTCTAAGCGGTTTATAGAGTCAGCTTATTGCCCCCCAACAATCTGGCTCCTCCTTTTACCAACCTCAAAAGGATGGAAGGATGAGTCAACCTTGAGCCTGTCAGGATCGAATTCTAGACTGTGGGCAAAGTTAGCCTGCAATATTGCATTCTCAGCACTGCATCACCATGGCTCCTACCACATTGTGTGGCTAGGGTTGCATTCCCAAAAGTAGGAGACCCAGATAAAGAGGTAAGATCCAAACAAATAAAGTTAATGGAATTTTCAACCCTTTTGGTACATTAAAAAAAAAAATCACATTAAACAGCTTTTTGGAGAGGCTCTAAGGTCCATGTGGGCCCTTCTAGAAACAAGGTACATACATAATGGATCTTTTAGGCAAGGATGAGCAGGAGCAAATCGAAGATAAAGGAGCAAAGAAGGCGAAGGTATTTGCTAAGCATAAATTAAAGGTAAACATGGCAACAAACCCTTTTGTACTTAATTTAATTTTAATCTTGTTTTCCTTTAAATCGCATTGTGTTTGCAAATACATGCAGCAGAAGTCAGACCATTTATTTTCGGGTAGCCCAGTGTTAAAGCCTGGAAAAGGGGGCAATATCGAAAGCATTTCCAAGATGCAGAGGCATTCGGGATTTGGATTCCATTCTGGAGACCCATCATGCCTACGCTACTTAAACCTTCCTTACACTGTCATCGGTAGTTGCTTTATCTATTATCACCTCTGGGAGAAGCTGTCCTGTGGGCGACAGGAGCACAGGGGGTCCTCCTACCAAGGAAACCACCCCATTGCAGTCCACACTGCTCTGCATCTTCCCATTCATTGGAAACATGGTCTGACTAATGTTGCTGCTGCGACGGTCACTATGTCTGCGTACAACAAAATAGGAACCATTCCGGCTTCCGTTTTCTTCAAAGGTGCTGTGCTCACTATCGGCATCGGAGCCTCCTTCGGCGGTTGGACCTTTGAAGCTGGAGAAGCTGGCCCGGCTATTGCGCCTCGTGGGAAACAGCATTGACTAAGGAGACAGAAATTGAACCGCCGAGTGAAAACTTGCAAATCGTATACAAATCTCAGTTGGATGACCCTAGGCAATAACTTTCGGGAGGAAAAGTACAGTTGATCTTATTGAAATTGAGTACAGTTGATCTTAAGTATGATGGGATCAAACTTCTAAACTGATTCCATGGGGATCAGACATGCTTCCTAGGGCAGTGATGGCTAACCTTTTTGCTGTCGCATGCCAAAAGCGGGTGTGTGTGTGTGTGTGTGTGTGTGCGTGCGAGGGGGCGCGCGCATGCGCATGCCCACATCCATAATTCAATGTGCCCCCCCACACTCTGCACCTGTGACCCCCTGCGCTCCCCCCACTTTTGGCACATGATGGCATAGTGGGCCCGATAGGCCCGTTTTCTGCCATCCCCAGGCTCCAAGGCCTTTTTAGAAGCCCGGGGAGGGCGAAAACGGCCTTCCCCACCACCCGGAGGCCGGAAATGACCTGTTTCCTGACTTCCGGTGGGTCAGGAAGGCCTGAAAATCAGCTGGCTGGTGCACGCATGCGCACTGGAGCTGACCTAGGGCAACATTCGTGTGCCCACAGATATGGCTCCACGTGCCACCTGTGGTTTGCCATCACGGTCCTAGGGGATAAAGGAATGCAGGTTTGACTTAGAAATGGGGAAGTGGAACCACAAGCCATTATAAAAAGGTTACCCAAGTCCTGGCAAAATAGAAAACATGAGAAAGAAACTCAAAACATTCAAATATTGTTTTCTACCACCTCTTCTTGCCTCCAATGATACCATCTATAATCTCAATTTATCCTTTGTTTGCGAAGATAGTTATACTTCCAAATTGAGAACAGCCACTATTTTCATTTTTTAGAAATTCCTATATGGCTGTGTGAGGCTTATGGACTTTCTTAGAAACGTGGTTAATAGTGCTTTGAAATACAATAGCTGTTCTTTTTTTTTTTTAATTAATAAGTAATCAAAATCAACATGGGCCAATAGCTCGACGCATATCAAGAGCGATGTCCTTGGGCACTATTCTCTGCCCCCCACCCCAAATTTCAGTAAATGCTAAAAGGTACTTCCAAACACATCAAATTTACTGCATCAAAGGCCCATCAATAAAGCTCTACACATATTATTAAAGGAAAATTCAACTATAATTAGTGGTTCCATTGAAATGATAATTTCTAACTAGTAGAATCTTTGCACTACCAAGTTCTTATTAATAAGTCATGAAAATGTCCATACAGTACAGTTAAATAGGTTATTTTGCTATTCAGATACTTAGCACCATTCTGTCTTTCCAGTATAGCAACAAAGACCTGGCTTCAGTGGTCCCCAATCCCCAAGCTGGTCCACGGCTTTTTAGGAACCAGGCCACACAAGCGAGTGCAGCTTCATCTGCGCATCCGCGGGATCTAGGTAGCATGTGGAACCACTACCAGCACCGCCCCGGTCCGTGGAAAAATTGTCTTCCACGAAACTGGTCCCTGGTGCCAGAAAGGGTGGGGACCACTGCTCTACTGTCTTTTTTAGAAAAATCTTATTCCTCTCTCCCCAAATTTCATACTATTAACCCCCCCCCCTTTTTCCCTAACTGTTTGGCTTTCTAATAACAAAAAGATAGTATTGTTTTTAAGTTCCTAAAGTTACTGCAAGTAATGACAAAAATCTAAATCCCAGAAGGACACAATATATTTATACACATCTTGAATGAAGACCACAAAGTGTCTTTCAGGCCCTCATCTGCAACAATTTGGATAGATATACCCACAGGATATCTGACCTGGTATGGAGAAATGACCCTGTTTTCATACGTGAGTCTATTCCCTTCCAAGGAAAATCGAAATCCTTTCCTTCGGATGCTACTATCTGATTCTGATTTTGGAAACGTTTTGTTGTTCCCTCCAGGTTCGCCGACAGACAATTCTCTTTGCCGTCTTTTTTTCCTTCGGTTTCTCCTTTCTTTAGCACTTTTGGAGCTTGATAATTCTGAAGATGTTTCGGAAAGTCTTCCAAGAGCAGCATCGTCCCTGAAATCTTTATAAGCCGCTGCCGCCGCCAGTGCCTATCGTATGAAGGGATCAACTGTGTAAGTGCTCTTCACACAATTTAGTTATTTAGTATGATGCTTATTACTGCCAAAGAACACAGCTTGAAGAATACAAGTGGGCAAAAAACCAACAACATGCATGTATCAAAATATTAGCAAATGAATATACACCAAAATAGGGGCTTTTAGTCTTTTTGTTTCATAGGCCTCCTTGAGGGTCTTGTGACATCTATGGATACCATCTTAGAAAAATGCTTTTAAAATGCACGAAGCCAAATACATAAAGAGATACTACGTTACAAAGGAAATCGTTATACTGAACTACAGGTATCAACATATTTTAAAAACAGCAATATGGAATACAATATATGTGCTTCATTATTAAGCCATTTAATCAACACAAGCTAAGTTTTAGTTAAAATACAATTATAATTTTTCCCTCTTGAAGTTTATGAACCCCTTGAAATGTATCAGTATGTTAAGGTAATCCTCGATTTACAACAGTTCATTTAGTGACCGATCAAAGTTAAAACAAGCACTGAAAAAAGTTACTTATGACCATTTTTCACATGTACAACCATTGCAGTATCCCCGTGGTCATCGATCAAAATTCAGCCACTTGGCAACTGACTCATATTTATGAGGGTTGCAGTGTCTGGAGTCTACTGGAGTCATGTGATCCCCTTTTGCAACCTTCTGGCAAGCAAAGTCAATGGGGAAGCCAGATTCACTTAACAACCGTGTTACTCACTTAACACCTGCAGTGATCCACTTAGGCAACAACTAAGGCAAGAAAAGTCATAAAATGGAGCAAAACTCACTTAACAAATGTCTCACTTAAGACAGAGAGATTTGAGGCTCCGTTGTGGTTGTAAGTCAAGGACTGCCTGTAAATATTTAGCTGATATATAATAATGAGAATTAGAATCTAGCCTGTGTGTTGTGTGTTAACTCTATGTGTATCATTAAATAAGTGTATCATGTTCTGTACCTAATATTGTAATAGTGTTCTTTCCATCCACATGAGCACCCGTCTGGTTCTAAAGCTCTGGGGACTCAATCCCCAGAGGGGACAATGTAAAATTTGTTACTACCGGTTCTGTGGGCGTGGCTTGGTGATGGTGGGGTAATGTGACTGGGTGGGCGTGGCCAACTTTAAAAAAAAAAAACTTTTCAAAGCATTTTTTCTATGCTTTGAAATTGTCAGAGAGGTATTTTTTTAAAAAATACGTCTCTGACAATCCCAGCTGAGTTGCCTGATAGGCAGAGAGGTATTTTTTAAAAAGTCTCTCTGACGATTCCAGCTGAGTTGCTGGGATCGTCAGAGACTTTTCAAAGCATTTTTTTTTACCACCTCTTCGGCCAAGAGGTTGCAGAAAACAATGCTTTGAAAAGCGTCTGATGATCCCAGCTGAGTTGTGCAATCATCAGAGGCTTTTTTTTTTACTTTTAAAAACATTTTTTCGTCGGAAGAGGTTGTAGAAAAAATGCTTTTAAAAGTTAAAAAAAAAGCCTCTGATGATCGTGTGGCTCAGCTGGGCATGTGGGGGGTGGGGCAGGGATTTTTGCTACCGGTTCTCCGAACCACCCGCCGCCATCGCTACCGGATCGGGCGATCCAGTCCGAACCGGGAGCATTTCACCCGACTCAATCCCATCCTTATGAAGGACAATAACACTAAGTAATACCCTTAATTTCCTGTCATCTTTGTTGGTGTTGCATCTGTACTACAACTGTTATTTGACAGATGACAGATGTCATATGAGTCATAAGCTTTCTATATGGTTGATAAAGGCAAGACATAATGAACCCATATAGAACTCTATTTTTATAAAACATATCACATCAGGCACTGGTGTACAAACATATACAAGTAGTCCTCGACCTACGACCACAATCGAGCCCAAAATTTCTGTTGTTAAGTGAGTCATGTTTTAAGTGAATTTTCCCCCATTTTTCGACCTTTCTTGCCATTGTTGTTAAGTGAATCACTGCAGTTGATGAATTAGTAACACAGTTATTAAGTGAACCTGGCTTCTCCATTGATGTTGCGCTTATTAAAAGGTGATCACAGGACCTGGGGACGCAGGAAGGGTAAGTAAGTATGAACCAGTTGCCAAGCATCTGAATTTTGATCACATGACCATGGGGATGCTATAAAGGTTGCCAATGTGAAAAATGGTCATAAGTCACGTTTTTCAATGATGTTGTAACTTTGGACGGTCAGTAAATGAACTGTTGTAAGGACTACCTGTACCTTGAAAATGAAATAGATTTCTTGAACACCTTGAGATTGAAAGCAGTGCCGCAGGGGAGTCTCACAAAGTCCCTCTAAAAGGAAAACGTTTAAGAAAACATTTTGTGCAGTTCCTACTTATCTATATTTACTTTTCTTGAAGATTTTAGACACCAGTACCTGAGCTTCCTCTTGTTGCCTTTTCAGATGCTCAAGCATTTGCTGATACTCTGTCTCCTTTCGCTGAGCTTCCTCAATAGTAGCTTGATTTTGCTCATCGTAGGCCATAGCTACTACTGCCAAGATCAGGTTGATAAGGTAGAAAGAGCCCAGGAAAATCACCACGACGAAAAAGAACATGTATCCTTTGCCAGCAGCCCGCAATGTCTGGGAAACCAAGGAGTTACTAGGTTAGTAAACAAGTGAATGTTAAAAGTTATGTGTGTATCTATCTCTCTCTATTTATATATCTTCCATTGATGTTGTCTCTTAAATATACGGAATGAACAAATAAGTATTGGATCTATTATTCAGCAATATAAACATATTTTCTGAATTTAATACATGTATTCAACTCTACCGCCATGTATCACTTGTTTAAAAATGGGTAGGATGAAATTGGGAAGCCGAATTAAACGACATCAGGCTTTTCAGTACTGCATGTGAAGTTTAGCTGTTTCTCTAACCAATGGTTCATAACAATTCTTCATCTGAGTCATATTCACAATATGACAGGGTGGTTTATATTTCAGCCACTTGTATAAACTATTTTTGGCCTTTCCCACAATTAAAAGTGTTATTTTTCTCACCTGTTGATAAAGGTTTTCCCAGTAATCCTGAGTCATAAGCCGAAAGAGTGACAAGAAAGCCCAACTAAAGCTATCAAAACTTGTATAGCCATAGTCCGGGTTTCTACCAATTGGTACACACGTGTAACCTTCTGGACACTGCCTATAAAAAAAGATGATGAAATGAATATTTTTGCACTTTCTAATTAAGCACATGGAATATATCTCAAAGCAAAAGTAAAGGAGTAACTGTATTTTGTACCTTGAAATACTGAGATGTATAATAACCCAAACTGCATGGAACAGTTGAAAATAAAAACTTTATAGTTTTTAAACTTATTTAAACATTCTTGAATTCGATCTTTGAAAATATCCCATATTCAGGATTAATATGTGAAATTACCTCTCAAATTTCATACTTCTTCAAATCAAATCAAATGCATCAATCAGATCAGAAACTTTGAATGCACTTTAAAATGCTCGTTTTAGACTAAAATAGTTTAGAAATAAAAATCGAACACGTAGAGATATATCAGGCATATTAAAAGTCAAAATGCAAATTACTATGTGGATTTATAAAGATTTGAAGATCCTATGGATAACAAAAAACTATCTGTGTATATATTCAAGGCTGACATGAATCAGAACCAGACTGGTCTCAGAGATTTAAGGACATTGTATTACTTAAGAGTTCATCACATTGAGTCCCATCAGAGTAAATATCTGAGGTTCAGTCCCGTTTTGATGGAGATTCCATTTTGGGTACTTTTCTTCCTATTTTTCTTCTTAAAGAAAACAGATAATTTTTAGCTCTATCTGAACTAGTTGTTAATTAATACCGTATTTCCCCGAAAATAAGACCCTGTCTTTTTTTGAACCCTGAAATAAGTGCTTGGCCTTATTGCCATGGGCTCAAAAGCCCGATTGGGCTTATTATCAGGGGATGTCTTATTTTGGGAGAAACAGGGGTATGATTTTATGAGTGTGTGAAAAAGTTCCCATTAACTTCTCATGACTTTCAAAAATAATTATATTTTGTTATCCAATTAAAAAAATCAGGTCTTTGTACTAAACCAAACTTTTATTTAGGACTTTACACTAAACTGGGCCTGTAAAACAAAGTATTTTAGTGCCTTGAATATTCTTGCCATATTATAAAGCAAAGAGGAAATATTAAATTTGTCCCATTTCTTCCCTTAAGCTACAGCTTTCTTAATAATGTTCCATGATGCCAGAAAGTATCCCCAAACCTCTTCCATAGCTTCTGCTCAAATATGTTAGCATTCAATGCAAAGTAATTGATGGACTAGCAGATTTAGTTAGATTACTAATATTGGATTTCTCTTCTAAACTATACTTACCCAGCATCTGAGTTATTACCACATAGCAAGGCATCCTTTGCACCTTTCAAGAAGTAAAAGTGGTCTGGTAAGGGAAAAAAAAAAAACCCTTATGATATTTTCATTCATATCATAGTCACAGTTTTCTGTTTGTGGCAGAAGACATTTTCACACTAAGAGCCACAATCCAATAAACCAACCAGATACATTAGAAAGTAATCAAGAGACACAGAAGAGATTTCTACTTTTGGTAGAAATTGGTATTCGGTGCACAATATTTTGCAGTTTTGCTCTCCTGACTGAAGAAAATCCAGAAATTTCTGTTGATGCTCTATATCAGTGATGGCTAACCTTTTCCGGACTGAGTGCCCAAAGCGCGCGCATGTGTGCCCAAACCCCCAAAATGCAATGCGTGTGTGCCCCCACATGCACCTGTGCCCCTCGTTCGCATCCCCCACCCCCCCTGCGCCCGGCCCCCTGCGCATGCACATGCGCTTTCCCGCATGTGCTCTGCCCCCCGCGCATACGCGGCAGAGACCCGAAGACCAGCTGGCCAGCGGGATGTGCGGCAGAGCTGAACTGGGGCAACAGCTCATGTGTCATCAGAGAGGGCGCTGCGTGCCACTTCTGGGATGCATGCCATAGGTTCGCCATCATGGCTCTATACCATTATTATTAATTACATGGAATAAAAAATTAAACAAAAACAAGCAAAAAACTTTATGGTATGTCTTTTTCAGTTATAAACTTTTAAAACTAAAATTTGAATTTTTCTAAAGAATTCTTCATTGAGTACTTCCGATTTACGTGTTCCTGTATTGAAAAAAGTAAAGACTTGCTATAACACATGTATGGGCAAACACAATATTCATATAAGTAGAACAATTATAAGTAGTCCTGGTTTTTCATCCAAGAAACTAATTTCAAATTTGTGTTATGTGCAAAATGACTATGTCTTACTTGTGTTTGTGATGTGTGTAGCCTCTACAACTCTCTTGCCCAACATAAAGCAGTCCAAACACATCTGGAAGGCATGAGGATGGGGAAATAATATAGACTAACATAGTGATGAGTTAACAGTGCACAATCTGTTCTTCTACTTTTAACAGCAACTTGTTTATAATGTATGCAAATATAACTGTGGTCTTCTGACTAGACTTGTATGGGAGAAGACAAAGCAGTTAGGAATGCAGGTTAAGTGTGTGTGTATGTGTGCGTGTTGCATGCGGATTAAATTCCAGGAAGTTGACTACCCTGATTATATCATTATATTTCTTGAATCCATGTAATTCTTTTTTATTATTATTTAATATCTTTACTTTTCTGTAACAAAATTTTTTTTGTGATTCTGTAAATGATGACTGAAATCTTCAATTTTCAAGGTGAAGTAAATTTTCAAAGTGAGGTATTGCCAGTGTGTGTATACGAATTACAACCAACATCTCTATCGGGAAAGTGGACACCTTGATTGAAGGGAAATTGTCATTTTTCTCCAAATTGAGAACTCCTAGCATTTTCAAAGAGCTTTACTTTTTCTTTTGACATTGCAACAGAAACTACTAATTAATTAATCTATCTCTGTAACTGAGCATTTAGATTCAAATAGAAAATACAAGATTGATTATTTATTGAAGTTTTATATTGCGACTCTTATTTGAAATGGTGTTTTTACTAACAGCACTGATTTCCCTTCATTTAAGCAATTCATTTTCAATGATCTATACTAAATGAATTAAATTTATATGGTAATTAGTCCAGAGAAGCCACTAAATAAAATTAGCCCAGAAAAAAAGTTTTAGATTAATTATTATTACATTATCAACCCTACTGCCAGGCAATGTTGAGCAAATGATGTTTTCACTTTAACCGAAAAGACCAAAAATTAAGTAAATATTGGAAAATAGAGTGCCACCCAGTGGAACAACTGAATGATGGTAGTGTGATGTGAGGTTGATTCACAGCAATACTTTTGATTCAACAATTATTTTCTGAATTTAGAACTGGCCAAATAGATTGATTAGATTTATGGAAAAGCTTGGATTCATATCTAAGTACTCTAGTGGATTATTATTATTGCTGCTGCTGCTGTTATTACCTTTACATTACCTTTATTTTATTACATTACCTTTATTTTCAATATATTTAGACCACATGAACTCAGTTCCATTGTAGTATTCCTTATAGCGTGGATCTTCATAAGAAGTGTTACGCAGGGGCCAAAACAAGCATTTATGCCTCAAGTGCTTCATGAACAACTGCAATCCTATTAGTGCAAACACACTCAGACAAAACAGAGTCAAGATCATAACATCTGAAAGCTTCTTCACTGACTGAATGAGGGCGCCTACAATTGTCTTCAGGCCTAAAATAAAGAGAAAGGCACAATCCCAAATTAGCTTTGGTTCGAGCTCTAGGTGTTGGCAACTGAGATGAATTAAAACATTTCATGCAAGCAGTTCCTATTTTTGAAAGCCATTACTTTTTTTGCTAAAAGAGAAAGCCTTCAAACTCTTGAGACATGAAATATTTTTTTTAAAAAAGGCAACTATGCAGGAATATAAAAAGCGTCATCACCTAAACAGCTATGCGACTGGAAGCCAGCAATTGTAGTTATTCTTACTTTGCATAGAGCTAATGCAGGGGGTAGGCAACTGGGGGTGTGGGGTGTGTGATAATTTTAATTTTGAATGCATGGGTTAATTACAAACATTTGACATGAGAAGACACCCATCTACTAGAAGTCAAATTAGCCCTTCCCCCCAGTATGTTCTCTGTGATCCCAGCGGTGGACTTGAAGCGTTCTTATAATTCCATAGAACATTAGAAGTTGCAGTTTTGCTTCATGATGGTTTTATACATATATAAAAAGACTTGTTAAACACAGCCAAGCAGGATGGCAAGCTAGTTCAGTAGCAAAGGAGGTGTCATGGGCAAGCCGGTGCCCAGGGGCACCATGTTGCCTACCCCTGATCTGATGTAAGGAATTCTTTTTTACCAATAGTAAATTTTTTCAAGCATGACTTAATAAGAAACATTTCCTTTCAAGCCAGAAAGTGGTTTGGAAGGTAAGGCTTCTTAAGCTATATTCATGCAATATCCATGCAGTTCCTTTATTAGCATATTATTATTAGAAGGTTTACTAGCAATCTAATTTTCTAAATACTAACATCCTCATTCCCAAATTATTTCAATAAGCAAAGTCTATCTGAATATGAAAAGTGCAACCATTTTTCATATTGTTGTATGAAAGAAAATTAACTATTTTCATGTGCAACATACATCATTGCTATCTCATGCAGAAATGTGTTAAACTCCAAGGCTGATGTCTTCACCACAGCAAGAAACAAGGAATTGTTTCTAGATAAATAATCTAGAGTAGCAATTAAATTGGCCAAACAGATACGACTGCAGTTTTGACAAATTAAAATCAGCCTCTGGGTTTAACCTAGCTCTCACCTGGGATGACTGATATTGTTTTCAATGCCCGGAGAACTCTGAATGTTCTCAACGCTGAGACATTACCCAGGTCCACAAACTCTGTCACATATCTGTAATAGGGGAGTTCACACACAAACACAATGACAGGATAAAAAGGAACAGTTGGACAGGTACAAGGGACCTAACACCTTACACTACTTACAGCTTACCTGGAATTACAGAAATAGTTTTCAAAGCTCTCAATACTCTGAAAGTTCGAAGAGCTGAAACATTGCCTAGGTTTACAAATTCTGTTAGATACCTGTAGAATTAAACCACAGTTATTCAGAGTTGAGGCAGACTTCACGGTGACTTACCTGAGTATTTATTTGAGCTAAATCCGTTTGGTAATTAAATTATAATTTAGTTTTAGTGATTTTGCATTCAGCACGTAGAGTTGAAAATAACTCCCGCTGTGTCCACTGGGAATAACATCAAGTGAATGCTTGTAGGTTTGCAATTACTGTCAGTGAAACATTCACTAGCACATTTGATATCCATGATTGGGTTTTAATGGTTTTTAATGGTTTAACTTTTAATGTTTTATATATGGTTTTTAAATGCATTGTAAGCCGCCTTGAGTCTTCGGAGAAAGGCGGCATACAAGTTGAACAAATAAATTAATAAATGATTAAAGATGCTTTACCACATATAGATGGCACTGGTTTGTTAGCAGACCGAAACTTAGGTGTGTGTATTTCCATGCCTGTGTGGATGTATTGTGGTGCAATAAAGTACCTCCTCCTTAAAAGGGATCTTCATTCAGCCCTATAAAATGCATCACCATATGCAAAAACTGTCAGTGCTTTTTTGGAAGCCTACTGTACACCAGTTGTTTGCGTGATTAATAAATTTATGTACTACTTTCAAAGTGATACGGATTATTTAAATGAACAATTTAGGGCCACAAGGATGTATATGTATGTGTATTTGCATGTGTATGTGCACGTATATGTATGTGTCTGTATTTCAGACAATGTGAATCAGTTACACCTTAATATTGCATTATTGCTTCAACAAATGAAATTAAGAAAAAGAGGGGGGAAACTGGGTTAGATACAGCAATTCATCCTTTACATTCAATCTGCTCCTACACTTCCAGAATACATTGTGAAGAAACATGGACTGGATTTCAGGACAAGCCGTTTTGCTGACAGAAACTACTTTTTATTTATTTTATTTTATTTATTTTATTTTATTGAATTTCTATACCGCCCTACTCCCGAAGGACTCAGGGCGGTGCACAGCCATGAAATAAAACACATAGATATACAAAATTTAAAATCGAATAAAATGAATTAAATAAATTTGGCTGAATTAATACCCAATTTAAAATACCCATATTTTAAAATCCATTAAAAATTTAGAATTTACACTTAAAAGGGAGAAGATTTAGGCGAGGCCAGCTTGATGAAACAAAAGCGTCTTCAACTCGCGGCGGAAGGTGCGCAGATCCGGAATCCTCCGTATCTCTGGGGGGAGCTCATTCCAGATCGTCGGTGCCCCCACAGAGAAGGCTCTCCCCCTAGGGGCCGAGAGCCGACATTGTTTGGCCGACGGCACCTGGAGGAGCCCCTCTCTGTGGGAGCGTACTGGTTGGTGGGAGGCTGTTGATGGTAGTAGGCGGTCCCGTAAGTAACCAGGTCCCAAGCCATGGAGCGCTTTAAAGGTGGTAACCAGAACCTTGAAGCGCACCCGGAAGACCACCGGGAGCCAGTGCAGCTCGCGCAGGAGAGGTGTTACATGGGAGCTCCATGTTGCTCCCATAACCACCCGCGCGGCCGCACTCTGCGCCAGTTGGAGCCTCCGGGTGCACCTCAAGGGGAGCCCCATGTAGAGAGCATTACAATAGTCCAGACGAGAGGTGACGAGGGCATGAGTGACTGTGCGTAACGAGTCCCGATCTAGAAAGGGACGCAACTGGCGAATCAGGCGAACCTGATGAAAAATCCTCCCGGTCACGGCCGTCAAGTGCTCTTCTAAAGACAGCCGTGAGTCCAGGAGGACGCCCAAGTTACGAGCCCTTTCCGTGGGGGCCAATGATTCGCCCCCAATAGCCAGCGATGGCGCCAGCTGACTATATCGGGACGTCGGAAACCACAGCCACTCGGTCTTGGATGGGTTGAGCCTGAGCCCGTTTCTCCCCATCCAGATCCGCACGGCCTCCAGGCACTGGGACATCACTTCAAGGGCATCGTTGGGGTGGTCCGGGGTGGAGATGTACAGCTGGGTGTCATCAGCGTACAGATGGTACTTCACCCCGAAACCACGGATGATCTCGCCCAGCGGCTTTACATAAATGTTGAACAGAAGGGGCGAGAGAACCGATCCCTGCGGCACCCCACATATAAGGGGCCTCGGGGTCGATCTCTGCCCCCCTGTCAACACAGACTGCGACCGGTCAGAGAGAAAGGAGGAGAACCACCGTAAAACGGTGCCTCCCACCCCCAACCCTTCCAGCCGGTGCAGCATGATACCATGGTCGATGGTATCAAAAGCCGCTGAGAGGTCTAACAGGACCAGGACAGAGGAACAACCCCTGTCCCGAGCCCTCCAGAGATCATCAACCAACGCGACCAATGCCGTTTCCGTGCTGTACCCAGGCCTGAAGCCCGACTGGAACGGATCTAGATACGACGCTTCATCCAGGTACTGGGGTAGCTGTCGCGCAACCACACTCTCAACAACCTTCGCAACGAAGCAAAGGTTGGAGACTGGACGATAATTAGCCAATACTGCCGGGTCCAGGGAAGGCTTCTTGAGGAGAGGCCTCACCACCGCCTCTTTCAAGGCGGCGGGAAAGACACCCTCACCCAACGAAGCATTTATAATCCCCTGGAGCCAGCCTCGCGTCACCTCCCGGGAAGCCAGCACTAACCAGGAGGGACACGGGTCCAACAAACATGTGGTCGCGTTCAATCTACCCAGAATCCTGTCCACGTCATCTGGGGTCACAGGATCAAACTCATCCCAGATAACAGTCTCAAGACCTGTCTCCGTCACCCTCGCTGGATCTATCCCGTCAGAGTCCAGACCTGCCCGAATCTGAGTGATTTTGTCATACAGATATTGAACAAAATCCTCGGCTCTCCCCTCCAAGGGGTCCTCCCGCGCTTCCTGGTGGAGCAGGGAGCGGGTCACCCTAAACAGGGTGGCCGGGCGATTATCTGATGACGCAATAAGAGCAGTAAAATGAGTACATTTTGCTGCTTTTATCGCCACTAGGTAACTCCTAATATAAGATCTTACCAGTGTTCGGTCAGATTCAGAAAGACTAGCCCTCCAACAGCTCTCTAGGCGTCTTTTCCGGCGCTTCATCTCCCTCAGCTCCTCGGTGAACCAAGGAGCCAGGCGAGATCGGCGCCGGGTCAGAGGCCGCAAAGGCACGACTCGATCCAGGGCTCCAGCAGCCGCCCTATCCCAGGCGGCCACTAGGTCCCCAGATGAGGCGTGAGCCAGAACCTCCGGGATTGGCCCAAGCTCCATCTGGAACCTATCAGGTTCCATCAGGCGCCTGGGGCGGTACCATCTTACCGGTTCCGCCTCCCTGCGGTGGGGTGCTGCGGTTCGAAGGTCAAGGCGAAGGAGCGAGTGATCTGACCATGACAAGGGCTCGATGACTATATCCCCTATCTCGAGATCACTCAACCACTGTCCAGAGACAAAAACCAAGTCCAGTGTGTTTCCCCCAGTGTGCGTAGGGCCATGAATTAGTTGGGTCAGGTCCATGGCCGTCATGGAAGCCATGAACTCCCGAGCCACCTCAGACGCCTCACCCACGGATGGCAGGTTGAAATCCCCCATGACCATAAGTCTGGGGGTATCAACCGCCACCGCGGCAATAACGTTGAGTAGCTCGGGCAGGGCTGCCGCCACGTGGCAGGGAGCCAGGTACGTGATCAGCAAACCCATCTGAACCCCATGGCCCCACTTCACAAGGAAGGACTCACAACCGGCTGTCTGAGGTACAGTGGTCTCCCTCGGCCTAAGGCCTTCTCTAATAATAACCGCTACTCCCCCACCCCTCCCCTGTGACCTTGGCTGATGGAATGCGTGGAAACCTGGTGGGCACATTTCTACCAGAGGGACCCCTCCCTCTGGGCCCAACCAGGTCTCCGTAATACCCGCCAGGTCCGCTCCCCCCTCATAAACAAGATCCCAGATGAGGGGGGCTTTATTTACTACAGACCTGGCGTTGCACAACATCAGACGAAGGCCCGGGCCCTGAAGGTCTGTACTACCTGGAGAACGGGTGGAGCCTTGGGGGCCGGAGCACTCTACCGCTTGAAGACAGCGGGTGCGTGCTCCCTTAACATGATATGGCCCCCTGCTCCCGCCATATCTACCCCTCCCACACACAGTACCGATGGTGAAAGCATAGTCTGGACCAGCTCGACCCCCTCCGGATCCCCCACCACCCCGCCGAACGTCCTGGCCAAGCCCGACTCTCCCCCTAGTGGGTTATCCCCCAAACCCACAATCCTAATTCCAATCCCACCCCCCTCCCCCCTCCCAGAACCCCTTAAAAGTTTAAACAAGGACAATTTTAAAAAAACCCCGCAGCCCCCTCTTTGCGGCATGCCACCTCTCGGGACTCCAGAGCCCGTCATCGAGGTAGGCCCTCGATAGAATGGAGGGCCAAGCCTGCGAGAAGGGGGAGTCTCGCAGACCAAGAAGCTCCGCTGCTTTTACTGGTAAAGGGAGCTAATTATGACCAAGAAAAACTAATCACAACTGAACTAAACATGAGATTAGTATGGCTTAGTTGTAGTATCTGGTGACAGTTTTTCCATTTTGCTCGTACAGTGAGAATTTCCCACGGATTCTACCTTCTGGGATTCCTGCACCTATCCTAGAGCAGTGGTTAGGGGAGGGGGGCATGCAGGGAAATTTCTCTTGCCTATTATGCCCATTCCACTAAGAAAAAGCTATTTGCAATTCATAAACAATACAATTAATGTATGTCAAAATTGTCATGCAGGTGCAATAGTAGTGATACTGGTTTTTAAAAAATACATAGGTCACCAATGTAAAAAAAAAAGAAGAAGGCTGAATACTTACGCAAATGAAATTACAAGAAAATCAAGCCAATTCCAAGGATCTCGAAGGAACGTAAACTTATCTATACAGAAACCTCTTGCAAAAATTTTTATGAGGGATTCAAATGTATATATTCCAGTGAATGTGTATCTGAAAGGGAGAAAAATGCAAGGAAACTGGTCATTCCCGCAGGATTTAGTATTTCCTACTTGCTTTATTATTGCCTCCTTTTCCTTTTATTTGGTGCCTTCCAATATTGCAGAGATTTCTGCACTTAAAATTATAATTTTCCTTTCCACTTCCCCCCACCCCCCTTTCACTCTCAGTTTCTGCTCCTACATCTTGGAGCTAAGGGCAGGAACATTCTCTTTATCAAAAAGATTATACTACTGGATTTTTCACATTATTTTTATACTGAGCATAAAACACTACTATAGATGTACATCTCATTAAAAGTTTTAAGATATAATGATTTAACATAACTTTTGACCCAATGCTAGAGGGCTGTTTTTAAAATTCTGTTAAAGTTTTAAAGAGTACCAATGTACCAAGTTTTTAATACAGAAAGGTAATGTTCCTCCTTATTTGCAGAATAAGAAGGAAGATATATTAGTAGAAGGAACATATATTAGTTTATTACTGAAGCGATAGATTAGCAATAAAAAGATTTCAAAGTCCTTATTGTTTTATGGAAGCATATTGCATGTTCTATTTTGAACATGTAATTCTTCCATATTTTTTCTCCATAAATTCCATGACATTCGGGGTTTTTTTTTTTTTTTAATTTGATTTATATGCCGCCCTTCTCCGGAGACTCAGGGCGACTTACAATGCATTAAGCAATAGCCTTCATACTTTTGTATATTTATACAAAGTCAGCTTATTGCCCCCACAAACTGGGTCCTCATTTCACCTACCTTTGAAAGGATGGAAGGCTGAGTCAACCTTGAGCCTGGTGAGATTTGAACTTACAGTAATTGCAGACAACTGATGTTAATCACAATGCTATCAGTCTGTTGAGCCACCAGGTTCTTGTCCGGTTTCAGGTTTGTGAAACTTTCTTTTTTCCTTGAATATGTACTGCACTCTAACCACTGCGCCACCACGGCTCATGCTGTAATCTTTCCACCAAAGGGGTACAAATTAATCTAATTACGTTTGCATGCTTTCAAACTGCTAGGTGGGCAGGAGCTGGGACAAGTAATGGGAGCTCTCCAGCTGCCAAGCTCAGCATCTTTAACTGCTGAGCCATCGTCTCCCATTAAATTGCATTAATAGTCTAAATAAAAATTATACATGGAATATATCTACTAATGTTCTGAAAAATGTATCACAGGCTCTTCTGGCTCAATTACTGCTGTGAGTTGCCAAACAGCTGATCAGAGTACCAGGCATTGTAGCTGAACTCTGTTTTCAACTGACTCACAAAATTCCAGAAATTGGAAATTGGTTCCAAATTTCCAAAATTGGTTCTTGCAAGTCAGTATGAGCTGGTTCCAATACTACCACTTGGTGTTTTTTTTGTTTTTTTTGGGGGGGGGGGAGGACGGGGGGAACCAAAAGTAATCCATAAAACACCATTTATTTTTTTCTTCTTGCAAATCTATATCACTGCCTAGATACAGTATTATCATGAGACTGTCTATATAGGACTAGGAAAACAAACAAATTGTGTACTTACTCTACCATCTTTGACCAGTCAGGAGGGTCTTTCAAAGTCATGAATACACAGTTTGTGAGAATAGTAAACATAATAAAGATGCTGAATAATGTTGGATTATGTCAAGGAATATGTAGCAAATTCTAGACAAATATTTACATCTACCAATTCATTTCAATATATGTCTACTCAAAAGTAAGTCCACTTAATTGAATGAGATAAACAGGCATAGGTTTATTCTCTAAATAGCAATAGCATTTAGACTTATATTTTGCTCCATAGTGCTTTACAGCACTCTCTTGAGCAGTTTGCAAGGTCAGCATGTTGCCCTCAACAATCTGGGTCCCCATTTTACCGATCTTAGAAGATGGAAGGCTGAGTCATCCTTGAGCCCCATCAGGATCATTGTGGGCAAAATTAGACTGCAATACTGCATTCTAAACACTGTGTCACCAATGTATCCATGTCTTTTTAGGATACTGGCTTATAAATATTCATTGTATGAATCAATGAATTTATTTGAAAATATATCTATAAATTCCACATAAAAATGCTATGCCAACATAAAAAGTTCCTTCCAAGATAAATCCAAAGTTTTATTCTACTGGTAGAAAATCAAAAGGAATCTGGTAACATCTTTTACAACTGGTGAATTGTGTTAAAAAGTATAAGCTCTCATGAGCTGCTGCTTACTTTATCAGATACTCAGGGTGGCCACAATAAGCAGAAGAGTAGAGTAGAGTAGAGTAGAGTAGAGTAGAGTAGAGAAGAGGGAGAAGGAGAAGGAGAAGGAGAAGGAGAAGGAGAAGGAGAAGGAGAAGAAGAAGGGAAGGAAGGAAGGAAGGAAGGAAGGAAGGAAGGAAGGAAGGAAGGAAGGAAGGAAGGAAGGAAGATTATTCCAAGTCAAATGATATCTACAAAGAGAAGATTTTATCTATTTAAATAAGAATATAATGTTACCAAAGTAATTAAAATTAAGGAAGAACATGTACATCTCTCTGACAAAAGGAACTGATGCTGCTGCTGTTTAAAAAGCAGTTTCATAAGAGAAAGTTTTACATTACCTGTTGTAAAAGGATATGAATGAACTAAAATTTTTATAGAAATTCTTCTAAGGGTATTGAAAGGACTCAGCATGTATAAGGCAGGTGTGGCACTGAATCTGAAGATATTCTTCCCTTTATTCAATACTATAAATGTCTGATAAGAGAGAACAAAACATAAATGCAATGTTGTAATCATGTTGATTTTATTTCTTTAGTTTTACATCAAGTTGCAGTTCAAATGTTCCAGATAATCATGGTTTTCTATTATGAGAAGGAGTCACTATAAGCAATATGCTATTCCTTCCCTTCATAATTGTGCAAGAGGAGTTTTCAAAACTTTTACACGAAGCACAATTCTGTATAATATTCCTGTTCTGTTCTGTCCTGGTATTCATTTATTTATAGAATGTATTACCAGCTTTCCGTTTAACAAACAATTATACTGGGGTTTCAGTACAGCATTAAAACTACAAAACCTTCAAATTACAACAGCTTAAAGCTGTAAAATCATCAGCTTGCAAAATCTTAATAATTACCACAGGATTAATGAAACTCAGAAGCACTGAATCAGTTAAAAGCCTGGGCAAAGACAGCATCTGTTGTAAATGAACCGGGAAGATTTCCAGACTTTTATATCTCTTGTTGCCTATCTTAACATATTTTTTAATATGCCATAGTGACGTATCATATCATAATTCTGCACGATAAAAGTAAAAGTGCTCCTACTTATCAAATTCTCCTGGTATATTGTTATGAAATGAATATACCAGTGGTGGGTTGCTACTGGTTTGGGCGAACCGGTAATAGCAGCAGCAGGAGGCTCCACCCACCCACCCAGATGTCATTAAATACGCTCTGCGCATGCGCAGAAGTGGCATGCGTACAAGCGAACCGGTAGCAAAGGTAAGTGAAACCTACCACTGGAATATATCTTCTTTAATTTTAAGGTAGGAGCATGGTGGCTCATTTGGTTAGGACTCTGGGATGGAAGTTAGCAAGCCCCCGTTCGAGACCCGAGTGCTGCCCTGGACAGAGATTGAGCTCCCATTCTTTGCTCCATCTCCTGCCAGGGGCATGAAAAGAGCCCCCCAACTGGGTGTTCCCTGAGCAATAGTGATGTCACTGGCTAATCCTTTCAATCCAGAAATGCCTCGGTGTTTCTGACATGAGTGCAATTTTAAGGGAACTGCATTTTTTTTTTTGTTTGAATTGTAAATTATGATTAACTGTCATTGTATGATATTGTCATACTCCTGCGAGTCCCTTGGACTGATCAAACCGGTCAGTCCTAGAGGAGATCAACCCTGACTGCTCTTTAGAAGGCCAGACCCTGAAGATGAAACTCAAATACTTTGGCCACCTAATGAGAAGGAAGGACTCACTGGAGAAGAGACTAATGCTGGGAAAGATTGAGGGTAAAAGAAGAAGGGGATGAAAGAGAATGAGGTGGCTGGATGGAGTCACTGAAGCAGTCGGCGTGAGCTTAAATGGACGCCAGAGGATGGTAGAGGACAGGAAGGCCTGGAGGAATGTTGTCCATGGCGTCGCGATGGGTTGGATACGACTTTGCAACAACAACATGATATTGACAAATGGCAGATATGTGCAAAGTCTACAATTCCAGAAAGGGTCCTATTTCCCATTCATAATATGATTGTATGTAAATCCACACCTAGGGCAGCTGGTTGAGAAATTGTCTATTGGAATAGGAATGGTAGGCTTTGTACACACCTACCGTGTGGCATTTATCACAAAAAATTCAAAGGAAATAATTATTTAATGGTTATGCATTTCAGTTTGCCACAAGGGTATGGCAAATAAGGCATCAATTTTCCATTTCAGTACAAATACTAGTTAATTAAGCAAAAAGAGCAGATCTGTGGTGCATTTGTTATAATGTTAAAATAACTGCTAGGCAAGATGCCTTCACTAGCCCAGAGGTGTCAAACTCGATTTCATTTATTTATTTATTTATTTATTTGTTTAAATTTCTATACCGCCCTTCTCCAATGTAGGACTCAGGGCGGTGAACAGCCAAAGTAAAAACAAGACATACATACAAAACATACAAAATCTAAAATCTGTTTAAAATAATTAAATAATTTTGGCCGTAATTAAAACATTCCAATTTAAAATCCGTTTAAAATTTGACTCAAGCCAGCCCAGCTAGTTGAAATAAATGGGTTTTTAGGGCCCGACGAAAAATCCGGAGGTCTGTTATTGTACGTAGCTCTGGGGGGAGGTTGTTCCAGAGGGTGGGCGCCGCCACAGAGAAGGCTCTCCCCCTGGGGGTCGCCAGCCGACATTGTCTGGCGGACGGCACCCTGAGGAGGCCCACTCTGTGGGAGCGTACTGGCCGGTGGGAGGCTATTGGTGGCAGAAGGCGGTCTCGTAAGTACCCCGGCCCTAAGCCATGGAGCGCTTTAAAGGTGGTCACCAACACCTTGAAGCGCACCCGGAAGACCACCGGGAGCCAGTGCAGCTCGCGCAGGAGAGGTGTCACGTGGGAGCGCCTCATCGCCCCCAAAATCCCCCGCGCGGCCGCGTTCTGGACCAGCTGGAGCCTCCGGGTGCACCCCAGGGGGAGCCCCATGTAGAGAGCGTTGCAGTAGTTCAGGCGGGAAGTGACGAGTGCCTGAGTGACTGTGCGTAGGGAGTCCCGATCTAGAAAGGGGCGCAACTGGCGTATCAGGCGGACCTGATAAAAAGCCCCCCTGGCCACGGCCGCCAGATGATCTTCTAACGACAGCCGTGCGTCCAGGAGGACGCCCAAGTTACGAGCCCTCTCCGTGGGGGCGAGTGATTCGCCCCCAATAGCCAGCGATGGCGTCAGCTGGCTATATCGGGACGCCGGAAGCCACAGCCACTCGGTCTTGGAGGGGTTGAGTTGGAGCCTGTTTCTCCCCATCCAGGCCCGCACGGCCTCCAGGCACTGGGACATCACTTTAAGGGCATCATTGGGGTGGCCTGGGGTGGAGATGTACAGCTGGGTGTCATCAGCGTACTGATGGAACTCCACCCCGAAGCCACGGATGATCTCACCCAGCGGCTTTACATAAATGTTGAACAGAAGGGGCGAGAGGACCGACCCTTGTGGCACCCCACAAGCAAGGTGCCTCGGGGTCGACCGCTGCCCCCCTGTCAACACAGATTGCGACCGGTCAGAGAGGTAGGAGGAGAACCACCGCAAAACGGTGCCTCCCACCCCCAACCCCACCAACCGGTGCAACATGATACCATGGTCGATGGTATCAAAAGCCGCTGAGAGGTCTAACAGGACCAGGATAGAGGAGCAACCCCTATCCCGGGCCCTCCAGAGATCATCCACCAATGCGACCAATGCCGTTTCCGTGCTGTGCCCAGGCCGGAAGCCGGACTGGAGCGGGTCTAGATAGACAGCTTCATCCAGGTACCGGGGAAGCTGTTGCGCCACCACACTCTCAACAACCTTCGCAATGAAGCGAAGGTTGGAGACTGGACGATAGTTAGCCAAAACAGCCGGATCCAGAGAAGGCTTCTTGAGGAGGGGCCTCACCACCGCTTCTTTCAAAGCGGCCGGCAGGACTCCCTCACTCAAAGAAGCGTTAACAATCTTCTGGAGCCAGCCTCGTGTCACCTCCCGGGAAGCCAGTACCAACCAGGAGGGACACGGGTCCAATAAACATGTGGTCGCGTTCAGCCGTCCCAGGACCCTGTCCATGTCCTCGGGAGCCACAGGATCGAACTCCCCCCAGATAACACTCTCAAGACCTGCCTCAGTCATCCCATCTGGACATACCCAGTCAGAGGCCAGCCCTTCCCGAATCTGAGCGATTTTGTCATACAGATACTGCACAAAATCCTCAGCTCGACCCTGCAAGGGGTCATCCCGCACTTCCAGATGGAGGAGGGAGCGGGTCACCCTAAACAGGGCGGCCGGGCGATTATCTGATGACGCGATAAGAGCGGCAAAATAATTAGTTTTCGCCGCTTTTATCGCCACTAGGTAGGTCTTAATATGAGACCTCACCAGTGTTCGGTCAGGTTCGGAGCGGCTGGTCCTCCAACTACTCTCCAGGCGTCTTTTCCGGCGCTTCATCTCCCTAAGCTCCTCGGAAAACCAAGGAGCTAGGTGAGTTCGGTGCCGGGTCAGAGGCCGCAAAGGCACGACTCGGTCCAAGGCCCCGGCAGCCGCACTATCCCAGGCGGCCACCAGGTCTTCGGCCGAGTCATGAGCCAGAATCTCAGGAAATGGCCCAAGCTCCATCTGGAACCTATCAGGGTCCATCAGGCGCCTGGGGCGGAACCACCTGGTCGGTCCCGCCTCCCTGCGGCAGGGTGCAGCGGTTAGAAAGTCCAGTCGAAGGAGCGAGTGGTCAGACCATGACAAGGGTTCGATGGCTATATCCCCTATATCAAGGCCACTCAACCACTGACCAGAGACAAAAACTAAGTCCAGAGTGTGTCCTCCCGTGTGAGTGGGGTCATGAATTAACTGAGTAAGGTCCATGGCCGTCATGGAAGCCATGAACTCTCGAGCCACCTCAGACGTTTCACCGATAGATGGCAGGTTGAAATCCCCCATGATGGCAAGTCTGGGGGTGCCCACCGCCACCTCGGCTATAACGTTAAGGAGCTCGGGCAGGGCCGTTGCCACGTGGCAGGGAGCCAGGTACGTGACCAACAGGCCCATCTGTACTCCACGACCCCACTTCACAAAGAGGGACTCACATCCGGCTATCTGTGGAACAGTGGTCTCCCTTGGATCCAGACCTTCCTTTATAATAACCGCCACCCCCCCCGCCCCTGCCCTGAGCCCTCGGCTGATGAAATGCACGGAAGCCTGGTGGGCATATATCCACGAGGGGGACTCCCCCCTCCTGGCCCAACCAGGTCTCCGTAATGCCCGCCAGGTCCGCCTCCCCCTCCTGAATAAGATCGTGGATGAGGGGGGCTTTATTGAGGGCCGCATCAGGGTTGTGTTTGGCCTCAGGGGGCCAGGGTGAGCATGGCCTGCTCATCACTCATGTCAGGAGCATCTGTGGTGGCCTGAGTGCTTTGCTAGTGAAAATGGGCTTCCAAGCTCCGTTTCTAGCTGCGACGGTCTCCTGCAACTCTCTGCCAGTGAAAATGGAGCTCAGGAGGGCTGCCTTCCCGAGCTTCAATTTCGCTGGCAGAGGCACTGCAGGCCAATTTTTTACTGTTTCCAGGGTGGCTCCATGGGCCAGATCTACGCACCCCGTGGGCCGGATTTGGCCCATGGGCCTTGAGTTTGACACCCCTGCACTAGCCAAACACTGCTAATCAAGATTATACATATGACTTGTTTCATCCACATTACGCAGTGCACATATACACATTTACTATGATCCTTGCTTTGGTTTTATTCTTTATGAACACTTACTTTTTTATTTGCATAATAAGGGTCCAGGTCTTCCAAGGGCTCAGACACGAAGTGAGGAGGAATATCTCCATAAATAAAAGGCAACGGCTTCCCTGCTTCCAAGTCAGTATTTGGCTTTGGCTTGCTTTCATCATGGTCCTCCTCCTTTTGCTCTTGATCTACTTTTTGTTTGGCTTTTTCCTCGGTGATCCTTTGCTCAATTGCTGCAAGTGACTCCTGAGTGAATCGGAAGAAGCAATCGGGTCCTGGTTGTGCAAACAGTGCGTGTGCCATTTTTTCATTCTGCAAGTTTTAATTACTTTTTAATTCCTATGAAAGAATGACCTATGAGAAGGAGGAAAATCATAAAGAGTTAAAAAAGAAGAAGCAAGCAAGCAAGCAACAACAAGAAGAAGAGGTTTTGTGTGTCTCTGTGTGAAACTCTTCCAAACTGCATCAGGAAAATAATTCATAGCTTCCTGGCTAGGCAAATATGAACTCTTTATTATTATTATTATTTTTCAGATTTTCCAAATAAAGTTAGGGTTAAGGTTCTAAAGTTCAGTGAGAATCAACAGGATATGGTACAGTAATCTTTAATCATCTACATTCAAAATCCAGAAATGAAGTTTTCTATTATTTAAAATGCCATTTAGACATAATGGATTCTAAAGACTTAAAACATTTGAATTGTATCAGAAAATTGTATGTCATCTTACTATTAAGTATTTGCATGCAGGATCATAACGTACAGGAATCTTTTTCTTGTTCCAAAATTGCACAGCAAAAAATTCCACTGATAATCAATAAAGAAATTTCACACACACGCACCCCTTCTCCTTCATCTATTGTTTAGTAGTAAAAATATTTATCAAGCTGAAAAAGTGACTTTGGGATTCTAAACGGACCTTATATAAGCTGCTGTAATGGCCCTTTCCACTAAAAAGGAAAGAAAAAAAGGGCACAGGTATAGATAGACCTTGAGTTATGACCATAGTGGCAATGACCATATGTTCACCTTGTTTAACAATCCTTACCCCTGCCCTCCCCAATGTGGTCATTAAGCAACTGTGCTGGTCATTATGTGGAGTATGTGGTACCTCAGTGGTGGGGGAGACACTGTGAGGCCTAGCCCAGGCTTAGGCCCACTTGTCCCAGGCCTCCCAAGGCACCCCCCACCCTAAGGCACCCCATGCTTCACTTCCCGTTCCTTGAGATCCCTGTAGGCTGCAGGCCGGATGCATCACTCACTGGCCACACCCACGCCTGGTTTAGCGAAGGGGGAAAAAAAGTCCTGATACGTTACATGACGCTCCATGATGACGTGAGTTTGACACCCCTGCTGTAGGCTTTGACAGCTCCCCCAGGCAACGTTTTCACAAAAATCAATTCTCAGGCTGAAGGAACTTGACCGCAGAAGCCACGGGGACATAACATGCACCAATATGTTATTTGTAAATGATGTCATCCATGAAACTTGCACAAATTGGGTGCCATGATGCAAAAAATGCAGAGTAGGCAATTCTGATCGCTTATACAATAATATCATGACATATGTGATGTCACTCTGTCCCCACCATCCTGGTAAGTGCAAAATGTTCCACCTCAGCTGTAAGGGGAAGAAGAATGCATTTGGCAACTTGTAACTGCTTAGATGCCAAATGTAGCTTGAGTTTTAAACAGACTGAGCACTTACAATGATGATCATTATTTCTGACAACCACAGGAACCGAACACTGAAAAGAAGATGAGGGAACCACACCACGCAAAACATCGCACTGTATTTTCCTGAATGCAAATCAAGCATTTGTACGAAAGGAAGTTTTTTCCTCCCAGTGCAAATAGCAGGTGCAGCAGAGCCGATCCAATCTGAGAAAAGGTTCAAAGCTTGCCCCCTTCTCCAAGCCCTTGTTACTTATTTTAAGAAGCTGTTTTAATAATTTCTACATTGTAAATAATGTCACCCCGAACCACTGAATAGTTAATGTACACCACACTTATGTGTACAAACAGTATGGAGCAAGTCCTTCTGAACACAGAGGAAATTAACTTAGAATCACAATTGTGTTGCATGTGTACCTTGTCTAATGCATCTATTTTTATCTATGCACCGATTTAAAAGAAAAAGGAATATGGAAAAATCCTCCACCTAAAGTAAATATTTATTTTAATCAGTCCATGTAAATTCGGCATACATTAAGCAAACTCTTACTTGCTTTACATAAACCACTTGTAGGTTTACTGTGTTTTATAGAGGCCAAGTCCATAATAATAATTATTCTAAAACATTGTTCAGTATTTTACTCTCAGAACCTCTTCACGAAGTGGAAAACATAGAAAGAGGGGAAGATCAGACAGAGATCAATTTAACAGTTTGGGTAAAACGGAGAGCCAGTTTGATCTTCGGGATAAGGCACCAGGCTAGAAACCAGGAGCCTGAGTTCTAGTTCTACCTTAGGCATGCATGCCAACTAGGTGACTTTGGGCCTTTCTTTCAATTCAACTTATGCCATAGGGCTGCCGTTGTCATAGGGAGACAAGCAGGAAAAAGGAGGTAAGTTGACTGCTTTGAGTTATTTATAAAAAAATTATAAAGGCGGGATTAAAAAAACCTAAAACCCACAGAGGACTTCCATTGCAGCTGTATACTAGTGGTGCACGTCCTCTTCAACAGATTGAATAATGTCTCTTTCATACTTTTCTCAGAATCAGGTCTAAATTATTTTACAGCAATTACATATATACATATATATTTTAAGAAAACTATAGGTTTTGCTTACTATCTGTTGAGAAGAAAAATAACCAAAGATGGAATCAAAGCTTGACAAGAAAGTTGTGTTCTCGAGTTCTGCAGCTATATAAAGTGAGTGAGGAAGAAGGCAGCTGGTTTCCTCCACGACATCGTATCAACTTTATAACAAATGGATGATTTGGTTTTGATAAAGTGAAAGCTAGGTGTCCTACTTAGTAGACCACCACTTAAGTATGAGCCGGCAGTGTGCCACAGCTGCTAAAAAAGCCAATGCAATCCTAGGCTGCATCAACAGAGGGATAGCATCAAGAAGAGGAGACGTTATAATACCGCTTTATACTACAGGCAAGACCACACTTGAAATAATGTGTCCGGTTCTGGTCGTCATAATAGGAAAAAGATGCTGAGACTCTAGAAAGAGTGTAGAGAAGAGCAACAAAGATGGCGAAGGGTTGGATACTACATCACACAATGAATAGTTAAGGGAAGTAGGCATGTCTAGCCTAACAAAGAGAAGGCTTAGGGGTGACATGATAGCAATTTTCCAATACTTGAAGAACTTTCACAGGGAAGAAGGTGTCCATTTATTCTCCATAGTACCTGAGAGCAGGAAAAGAAGCAGTGGATGGAAGCTCATCAGAGGGAGATTCAACCTGGAACTAAGGAGAAATTTCTTGACAGTGAGAATGATTAATCAATGAAACAGCTTGCCTCCCAAAGTTGTGAATGTTCCATCACTGGAGGTTTTCAAGAAGATATTGTACAACGTTTTGTCCAGAAGAACTTCTGCCTTGGACAAGGGGCTGGACTAGAAGACTTCCATGGTCCCTTCCAGCTCTACTACTCTATGTCTATGTCATACACTGTTTTTAGTTCCTTCAACCTTTCTCATTCACAAGTTTCTGGGCTTTTTGTTTCTTGCTGACAGACAGCAAACTCTGTTGCCCTTTGGGAGACTCAAAGGGCAGCAGAGTTTGCCGTCTGTCAGCAAGAAACAAAAAGCCCAGAAACTTGTGAAAAGCACTGCTTGAAATGAGCCATTGCCACTCAAGTAATGACAAGTGCTCTATCTGGCACTAAAATTCAAAAGTTCTGGCTCGCTTCCCTTGCAATTTCAATCTTGCTGCCTGTCTTGCTCATAGTAGTTCCAATCTGCCCTTCATTTTAACACTCAAATGTCCCTCACATCCCTCCCTTGCTTTCTTATTTTACCATATAGCTTCTAGGCAAGTGCTACAAAGAAGCAAACATTAAGAAATTAGGAAAAATCAAGGCATTTCCCCCATGCCTGCACTGTTTTATTCCTTCACCCCAACCAAATAATGACATATAAAAATGGAATATCATCAGTATGGTGGGAAGATATTCCCCCCCACCGACCTAACCAGGGGTGAAATCCAGCAGTTCTGTAGAACCAGTAGCGGAAATTTTGAGTAGTTCAGAGAACTGGCAAATACCACCTCTGGCTGGCCCCAGAGTGGGGTGGGAATGGAGATTTTGCAATATCCTTTCCCCGAAGTGAGGAGGGAATGGAGATTTTGCAGTATCATTCCCCTGCCACATTCACCAAGCCACGCCCACAGAACCGGTAGTAAAAAAATTTGGATTTCACCACTGCCCCCAACCCTACTCCCATAAAACTTTACAGGTAGTCCTTGCTTACTAACCACTTGTTGGTGACCTTCTGAAGTTATGAGGGCTTTGCCAAAAGAAACTTAACAACCAATTCTCGAAGTTACAGTTGTTACAGACTGCAATTTGGGTGCTTGGCAACTAGTGTGCATTTACAGCAGTTGCAAGATCCTGGGATCTCATGATCTCCATTTGTGCCCTTCACAGCAGGTTTCCAACAAGCAACATCAATGGGGAAGCCAGCAAGAAGTTGCAAATCGCAGTCATGTGATGTCATGTGTGGTGATTTGCTGAACAATAGCAGCCAGAACTGATGTTGTTGCAAGTCGGTGCAGTCACTCAATAACATGTGACATATACTTTTTGGCTACAGTGAAGTAAATGCAATTATTGGCAATGAACTACTAGAGTGAACGTATCAGTTAGAAGCAAGAAATGTGATTGTACTTTTTCCTTTTTTTTAACACAGGCAAAGAAAACCAGCAAGTTTACTTACTGGAGACTAAGTGGCCACAGCATTCTAGGAACAAGGCTTTGTATTGTTAATGGGCCATATTGTTAAGGCTTAGACTAAATTTATTGTCACTTTGAATGTATACTAAGCGGCATACATTAAAATGAAATTTCATTCGTTCAGCTCTCAAAGGGTCACCACCTCCAATATACATTGTTTGTCATGTAAACTAACGTAGGGCTACTCTCAAATCCTATCTGCAGCAATGTTTCAGAGAACTGCAAAGCATTTTTTGAGGGTCAAAATGCAAGGCAATCTGAACACATTGTGAGATGTAATAAAAGACTCCTACAACTGTGCTGCCAATATGGGTAGACCTTGATTAAGTGATATAGTGACCAGGCCAGAATTTTTGTCACTAAGTGATGTGGTCATATAGCTTGACATGTAACGGCATCATTTAGCAATGGCAATTCCAGGCCTCTCCATTGCTATTGTTAAGCAAAT